CCCGGCGCCGAGCGCCTCGTCTCCTCGGCCATTGGCGCCTTGGCGATGCCTGTCATCAAGCTCAACAACCGCTTGCTGGACGCAGTGGCGCGGGGGGCTGGTGAGAGGGTGGAGGGGGGTCCCACCGAGCTCCTCCCCAAAGCCCCACGGCTCTCCCAGGGCGGCAGCATCGCGCCCCATGGCCAGGACCATGATGGTGGTGGCCATGTTGTCATCAACATGGACGGTGGCTGCCCTGGTGCAAAGCCAGTGTTGGCGGAGCTCAGCCCCGACGCGCAGCTCCACACCCCGGGACACTCCAAGTCCCTGGACCTTGGCCGGCCAGGGGTGCTGCTGGTGGCCCCCATCAAGGACCGTAAGAACCGAAGCTGGCCCCGGCTGGACAACGTCAGCCTGGTGGGTTACGCCAAACTGGAAAGTACTGGCGAGTCCTCAGACCGGCTGCTGGAGCCCTCGAGCCGGGGCGAGCCCCGACCCAGCTCCTGGGCGGTGGGGATGGAGAACGGTGAGCGGGTCTGACGTCCCCATGGCCCTCGGGCAGCGTGACGCCACAGTCCCTCATCCCTCATCCTGGCCCCCAGCACCCACCAGCGATCCCAAAACCCCACGTCCAGGAGGGATTCGGGGGGCGGCGTTTTTAAGCGTATGCCAAGAGGAAGGGCCCGATGTGCTGCTGTTGGGGGAGGACTCGCCCAGGTGGGATGTCCTCTCCTGGCTGCCTCTTGACGGTTTCCCGGTGGATGCCCTTGGCCTTACAAGCCCTTCTCCTGGTGGCTTTTCCAGAGGAGCCCTCGCTTCAGGACCCAACGCAAACTGCGGGATGGGGATGCGGGGCAGGAGAAGCCCCGCCGCCCCCTGCAGCACTTTATTTCAGCAGGGTGGGGGGATGTTTTTTTGGGGGGTCGGGGGAGAATGATGTCCCCTTAGCCAGCCTCAACCCACTGGGAAATTGGCTTCACCGGAGCACATAAGCCCAACGGGGCTATTAAATATTATCTCGATGCCATGCGGTCCCGCCTCGCCTCATCGTCTCGCCTACAGGATGCTTGGGGTGGGCAGCTGGAGAGAGTAAGGATGCTCTATAACCAGGTGCCAAATATTTGCAGGGTAAGGTGATAAGCTCAAGGTTTGGGGGATTTTTGGCAGAGTAGGGATGCAAAAAGTTGCCCAGGGCTGGTGCGGGCAGCTGCGAAATTAAAACAGAATCGCTGGGGTTCGGCGGATCCCAAAGCGCGACTGCGGGTCGGGGTTTATTTGTGCCGTTTTCTGGTGGGGTGAAGGATGCGGGTGGTGGGAGGGATGTGGTGGGGCAGAGGTAGGGGTGAGCGTCGGTGCGGGTTTTGCCGGGCCCCGGTGGGTGCTGTCGCGTCGTTTGGTGCCTTTTGGATGCCGAAGAGGAGCGGTGTGGGGTGAGGACTGAGGCAGCCTTGGTGCTGGGGTGGTGTGATTCCCCGGAGAGAAGGTAGCACAGAAGCAAAACCCTCTGAAACCCCATCCCAGCAGGAAAATGCAGTAGGAAAACGGGGATAAAATGAAGTAGAGAAACGGGGTTTGCTCTGTTGGGTGAGGATGCGCTGTGGGATGAGGGTCGCATCCCATCTCAAGAGATGCCTCCAGGCTCAGCAGCCCGGAGAAGGGAAAACATCCGCTGCCCATTTTTTTGCAAACGAGCAGTTTTTGCTCCGACACTTCTTTGCCGATCCTTTCCCAGGGCCTTTGCCGTGTTTCCCGCGGGGGAAGGTGTGGGCTGGTCTCTGCTGTGGCGCTCAGCCTCCGTTCCCGTTGATTCCCCCCAGCATGTGGCTGCGGTGTCCCTCCAATGTCCCCCCCGCGGGTGAAGCCCCCCAGGAGGGCTCATGGGGACACGGGGGTGAGGAGCTGTCAGGTCCCACCGGCCGTGGCACGGCCACGAGGTTAAAAATAAATAGGAAAAATAAATAAAATAAATAGGAACTGGAGGAAAATCCTTCACCTTTGCGTTTTTAAGGCTGGGCCTGGAGTGTTCCAGCTGGGCCACCTCTGTGAACACCGGGACAAACCTCCGCTGGGGTGTTTTCCCATGATGCTGGGAGGCACGACGGTTTGACCTGGTCCTTCTCCAAAAAAAAAAA